GTTCTACCAACAGATTTTAGATTTCAACACCAGGCTCCCCTTTTGAATCTTTCTTGGGAAGCGAATCGAACGGTGATGTGCGTGTTTCGCACAGCAGGCTGAGACCTGCACTCAAGCTAGGTGGACCCTTGGATTTGTCCATATTTGTCCCCAATTGCCAGTGAGGTAGCCTTTATCGGGGGGTTGATCTTCTCAAAGGTAGTCCTCCAAAACCATTGGAGGTTCGCGCGTGTTCTTGGATATATTGTACAATGCCCAGGGTCTTCGACATCTTTGCATCGCAATTGTTGGATGGTTTGGTTTGGATGGCGTTCTCTCGATGCGGTGGTTGGAAGGAAGGGCAAAGTCGGCAACGTCGTGACAGCCCACAGCTCTAGCACCTCACTCTGTTTCAATAAGAAGTTTGACCATCTTTGGGGTGGTCGGTGGTCTAAAATAGAGGTCACTCAGATTCAGGCTCTATAGGTGCCCTATGATGTCGTCGTTGGCATCGGGTGGCGCAAAAGAACCATCTGCTCACCGCCAGTGCCTGTGCAGTGCCTGTGAATTCCCAAGCTGCTGCCATGGCAACCCACCAATCTTCGAGCAATTTCCAAGACTCCAAGCTATGACTTCAAGACAGTTTGGTCTTATCTACTGACCTTACTGTAGACGTCCACTGCTTTCAACCGCATTACTTTGACGTTCTCATCACGGTGCCCCAGCGCCACCGAACCAGGTCATCGAATGGCTTTCTGCAGTGGCTGACCCTAAACCCCGTCGAAACGCGTCTCTCTTCAGCTGCCTCAAGCTCAGGGGCAACACAAACAAACAGTCAAATGAGTTCTGGATGAACTCCTTGAGAAAAAGAGCTACATAAATTGCTCATATGTGCTTTGCCAACCTTTTGCAACTCAAGAATGAATGCAAACCCAATCAAACCCACCTTGAAAACACAGCCGGCCATTTCTGTAAAGAATCCTACGGGTCGCAGACCTCGTCAGTGCTCTCCATATGTGTAGGAACACAAGCAAAGCTCGTAACAAGCACAGTGGGGACTCCTGAGATCAGTCATTATCCTGTCCACTTTAGCCGAGCCTGTTCATCCACAAGGCAAAAGCTTAGCCACAATTGAACAAAGTTAAATAAAGCATGACAAATCTCGTCGAGTTGTAACCTGTCACGCGCCAAGTGTATGTCATGCGTCAAGAACAATGAAAAAGGATGAGTAAACTAGACTAGAAGGTGTGGGTCCCACAGTGATACTTGCCGGCATATAGCTAAAGACCCCTCATATCTGTTCAATATTGTTCAATCATGTGCAATCTATTCGTGTCATCCACTTATGGAAAGTTGATGCGCAAGGTGGTCCGAGCAAGGTGGTGCGAGCATCTTCACTCAAACACAGACCAGCAGCGTGTGCCTTGGGCTTCACCTCCACCTGGCTGTGAGAGAAGCCGCGTGCAGGGAGAATACACAAAAATACACAGTGGTGCCAGGGGCAAACTCCCCACACCCAGTTCAAAAAAAGTCGCCCCTGGCCTAGCTAATGGACCAATTGTCAGTTGATTGGCGTTCAGAGGTGAAGGTGTTTGGGATGGGGGCAGTGTAACTTTCTGCAAGAGAAATTTCAAGAACCACCTTTGCTGGCTCGAAGAACTCACAAGGTTCAAATAGTTTCTTCATCAAGCGATCAGAATGTCAACTGACACATGATGACACCATCTGACACTATCAGTCATGGTGACCAAGCAGGCTTTGGAAAGCGACCCAAGCAATTGTTCCTCCCCTTCAGGTTGCTCTAGGTCCCGGTGGCATGTTTATAAGCCCTCTCCCCCAACCCCCCGAACTGCACCGTCGTGGTCCCCCGTATTCGGCGGGCCGCGAGGTCGTTTTCGGCCTGCCTCAGCTATGGTGACCTGGGTGGGGCGACGCGGAGCCAGGGATCTAGCACTTCATGGCTTCGCTCATGGACAGAATCGCCCGGAGGCCTGACTGGAGGTGTCCTCGGGGTCTCAACTTCGGTTTTGAGGGACCAGTCGGGCTACGGCTGATGGTACGGCTTCACGCTTTGGACGCCAGACCAGGAGTGGAGTCGAGAGGTGCAGCATGGGTGAAATCACGGGAAAACAACATATGGAGGCGCATGGATGCACATGGAGCATGCCAACAGAGGTTAAGTGACCTGAACTAGGACCCTACCACCTATGGGATAGTGTATAGGGTTCTTCAACCTCTGTTGGTGGGGCCACAGAATGACCATGTCTTCAATGTCACGCTGGACTTGCCTATTTCTCCAGCGGAGGCGACACGTCTCCTTGACCTCTCTGAAGTGGTCTACGGATACTATCGATTGATCCATCCACCCATGTATGTACAGTAGTCAGCCATACTCATCCTGACTAAGAGTTTTGGAGATGCACCACTGGATGGCCGCTGGCCTTCGTATGTGACCCTGGCGTTACCGTTCCTCAATGAGACACATATTCCATGCAGCCTTGAGGGGAAGAGAACTGGGCGTCACTCAATGCCATTGGGTGAGAACATCCACCAAAGTTCCTCCATCCTCTACTCCCAGCCGTCATGTTGACCCATCGCCCAGTCACAGAACTACGCGACGCTACAGGTCAATCACCGCGGCTTGCAGTGGGTGATGCGAGCGATTTGCGGGTCCACACGGGTTCAGGAGTCTCAGGTGAAGACTACTGTGACCTCTACCTTTGGACCACCAACCACCAGAAATTGATAGGTCTATCATGGTCTATCACCACATTAGATCTACTGATTGGTGGGAATCCTAAATATGGCCTGCTCCTGTTCAAAGGTCCAATGAGTTCTACTGTAGTCACAAACCCTGGCGCCCTCATTGGAGCCGACGCTCACCGCACCTTGGGCACTGTAGAAGGTCATTCAACTGGCCCTGACCTGCCCTTGGGCAGGGAGACAAGTACTAAATGAACTTTATACCAGGGCCCCCCTGTTTGGCTGTTTGGTGGTTTTCATGGACATCCCGAGCTCCACCTCGAATTAAGCTATCATTGGACACCCTTTGCACAGGGCCTCAGACCCTGCTTTGGCTCTCTGTTCCACTTCCACTTCCTCGCCTCCAGTCGATCTGAACACCCAGCACTCCGCCCCTTTCGCCGCTCGTGCACCGCTCCAAGGTCGATGTGCAGCAGGTCTCCGGATAGATCTCCCATGTAGGATCTTGGACGAAAATCACCCACCCCAAGCCTGAAGAGGTGGTTTGAACATTGAGGGGGTAGGTTGGAATCAAGGTGACTGACATGAGATACACACCGAACCGACTGGGATTCTGGTGACGTGGCATGGCCGAGTTCTTGTTGACCATGAACTCCTCATAGCAAATAGCTGATGGTCACTCCAGTTCAACCACTTCCATGACTCCTGCAAGTCAGCAGGGCTGCGCCAAGTGCGGTCGTTGCGACGCCACATGAGCTGCGAAGGGCCGAGCCACCGCGAGCCACATGAGCAAGAGGATGCCACCCCAGAACCCCCCACACGAGAAACAGAACTCTTCACTCGGATTCATCCAGTGGCATACCGGGAAAAAACACATGCCAAGCACGCCCTCACGCCGTGTGGTCCCAGGACTGTGATGCAGTGGGGGGTAGAAGATGTTCCAAGGATGTCTTCTGCTGGGTCCAAGGATGTCTTCCAAGGATGTTCCACAGGACATTCAACCACGCTGGCAGCGACGATCCTATGGAGCATGGTGTCCAGAAATGGTTATGATAAGCAAGGCATCTGCGAAATCCAAGGTCTCGAGACGACCTGAACGCCTCCATGGCCACCTTCACCGCCGATACAGCCGCTGGTAGGAGAGGAGGTACTCCGGAAAGGCACGGCTGGCATCGGGCAAAATGAACCTCGGCGTGGCAGCTCGCGGCCGCTCGAGCTTGGTGTTTCCCGAGGCCAAGCTGAAGAAGCAGCTGGCAGCCCAAGAGCTGCCAGGGCAACATACAATGAATATCATCAAATTGGGTCTATCCCATTAGCAGGGCCCGGATGATGAGGAGGCCTGGTTGCAGGCCGACATCTCTAAAGCAGATCATACACAAGACATATTTGGACCCTCTAAACCCACCCCAAACACCTTCTTAGAAGGCACTTGGGCCCCCAAAGATGGATTGTGACTTCCCCAAACCGAACTACCTCGAGGGGCTGCAGCCTGATCGCACACCCGAAGGACGCCGGAAACCACACCAAAGAACCCGGAAAAATTGATACAAGTAGGAGGACACCGAAAGGATATGTAAAGGAGTTCAATACCCGTGGTGCCATATTGTGCCATCATTATATGTCCATATGTTTGCACGGAAACCAATAAAAGAGAACGAACTTGTTTTAGTACTTTTAAGGTGGACTATTCAGCTACAGTATCTACCTCCCCTCCAAACACCACCTCATTCACAAACACCAGAGCTCAGGCGGTGTTTTTCTCCCAATTCTCGTCCGGCGACTCGCGATAGCTCCCACTGCTGGCTTCAAAGTCCACGAGCACCGCCCCTGGCAGCGCCTCTGCGTGCGCCGCCGCCTCCGCCGCGCGGCGCGACGCCCGCGCAGCGGCGCGGCGTGAGAGGCGGACGGCACCCAGGAGCACGCGACAAAGCCTTGAAGCGCGAGCGGCAAGCGAACACAGCGACCCACAACGCCGGAGCTTGAAGACAGAAACACGGGTACCAGGGACCCCCCGTAATTAAGGGGTGTCCATGATTTGGAGGTTGAGCTTGGGATGTCCATGAAAACCACACCAAACAGGAGGCCCTGGTATTTTGTATGTATTTGTCATGTATTTGTCATGTGTGTGTGTGTGTGTGTCGCATTGGGTGGCACCTCTCCACCCAAAAGGTGTGAAGAGTCTTGCCGCTTTTTAAGCGTGAAGAATGCAGGACTCAGCAGTTTCTGCAGTGAGGAACAGCAAGGCGTGCCATCCGCAATCGCTGGGACCCTCCGCGTACTCGTCGGCCTTGCTGGAGCACTCCGCAAAGTAGAGGCCGTCAGGGAAGAGGGGCGCTTTGGAGAAATTGGGGCCAAAGCCTTGGGTTCAGGGATGAAGCTCAAGTCCATCAAACCTTTTCAAGATTGAAAGTTCAAACACGCTAATCCGCCCCCCGACCGTTCAGGGCAGAATGTCTATGGCAAAGTTGGTTGATGTGCTCGTTACCGTGCTTACGCTCTTCAGTTCCAAGTGTGACATTGTAGGTTTGTGGATTGCACATCACCCGATATCACACGTTCAGCATCGCAGGGGAGGGTCGTCTCTCCTCACGGGAAGTGGTCCACATATCAGTGGGCAAACACACTTACTGTGGAGATGTTCAGCCCTCCTTCGCTACAGAATTTCAACATGCCCGTGAGGAAAGCCGTGAAATCACTTGCACTATTCCCAACCGGCCACGTTCTCTTTTTTCATTCGACTTCCCTTTCGATCAGCTTCCAACTGAACAATGATCAACATTCCATCACATTCCCAGTCCCAGTCAATATATTCAATTGATTTCAATTGCCTGGCTCTACTGCCTGCCCCCCCCGCCGTCTTTCTTGCGCGTTCTTTGGTAGTTCTTCCCCTCACCCTCTGCAGAGTCCCAACCACCCCGCACCCTCCACGTCACCCTCGCTCCGCGCCACGCTCCGCCGTCGCGCGCCCGCAGAGGTCCAGGTCGAAGCCCTGGTCCAGGATCCGCTGCGCCGACGCCCAGGAGGTGCCGTGGAACAAGTAGCATTCCTCTGCCACCGGGTCCAGAAGTTGAAGAACCCGACTGTTCGACTATCCCATAGGCCATAGGTACCCTGGGTGACGGATCCCATTTATGGTCACTGAACTTCTGGGTGCCGGGCAGGCTCAGGCAGACTCGGAGATGTTCTGGGGTCGGTGTGGGGAATTGAACGACCATGAACGACCTGAGGCCTAGATGGTGGAGTAGATGCCCGTTGGCGAACAAGTCGTACATTCTAAGGAGGTGTGACTGGGTTGGGTGCCAGAAGGTCCAGTGATACCTTGTGCAGGGACGACTGGGTGAGCCCAAACGGATAGGTGTCGTCTACGGTGTGGTCTGTTCCCACCTGGAGCCGGTTCCGGACCGCTTCACGCAGAGCGGGAGATCGTGGTGAGCGTGTAGGACGCCCCCCATCCATGTCGTTCTTGCAAGGCAACCGAGTCGTGGATGGAGCCGAGAAACCCGGAATAGGGCAACTTGTGTGGCACAATCTGGCGCAATCTGAACATGTTTAGTTATATATTGAGACTAAATTTATGTTCTATGTTCTACGATGTTCTACGCCCAAAGGCTCAATGGAGCCTCAAACTGCTACATGTGAGGGTCAGACCGCGAACTGAGGGTCCATCCATCCTCTGCGCCTGTGCTGGACCTCTTCCCAGCCACCGTCTTAGGTGTTTCGTGGACGAGTCTCATTGCACCGCGCTTCCGTCTGGTCTGCTCCAAAGCGCCAGGTCCGGACAGGAGGGTTTAAGGGCGGTAGACCTTCCGGCTGCTGCTCCAGCATCAGTGTCCTGTGGGGCTGCATCATTGCCTCAAGGACGTGCCTCTCTGATCAGGAGGAGAGGGAAAAAAGCCCAAATATTCCCAAATCTTGCAGTTGTTGATTCACTTCGTCTGAACAATTCTCTTTGGACCGCCCCTTGTGAAGAGTTTATGTACCTGAACCCCCCTGGATCCCTTTAATCCACCCCCACCACCCACCCCCAGCCCGAACTCCTCCAGGTCTCGAACTCCTCCCATCGTTCCGCCGGGCGCGCCGCCTGCGCCGCCCGCAGTCGCAAGCGCTGCGGCAGTGGACCGCGTCGGTCGCAGGAGCGGCGAGGAAGGAAGGTCTCATCGAGCAGCGCCTCCGCCAGAGCCGCGGAGCCCAGGAAGTCCCCGGCTGCCGGGGGGAGGAAGCTGGGGCGACTCTCAAAAGAGGTTCCTTGCAAATTCCTCTGGCTCCAAATCAGATCTGAGTTGATTAAGACGTCCTAATTCATAGTAGAGCATCTCCCCAGCAACAAAACAAACAACATACAGTGATATTCATAGTGATATTCATATAAACCACCGACCTTTGGCGGGCCATCTACCACCTCTCTAATCCACTATATAGATCCATCCCCATCGCCCCACCAGTTCGTCCCACCTGCAGGGCCTTCATCTCCCCAACACCCAACGACTCCATCTCCACGCGGCCGCCGCGAGGTGACGGTGGGAGCCGATGGCGGATGTGGGTTGGGGTAGCTGATGAGCAACGACCAAGAGTATGGCCTGTTCCTCAAAAAATTGAGGCCGAGGGTAGGTGACGAAAGCTAGCAGGTGTGCATCCGGACTGGTGGGACATCAAGCGGATTGAGGCAAATGCTCATGAGGTAAAACGTTGTGAACATGTAAGACACACAAACACCAATGACACAGCCAACCTTAGAATTGAAGTCCCCGATAATTAAGGAAGCGTGGCTGGACTTTGCCACACTATTCGATGCATCCGATGTGTTTACGAACCTGTGAGCTTGTTGAATCTGTTGCACCGTATCCCAAAACCTCCACGGAGGAGTTGAACCAAAGTGGATGCCATAAGAGGTGCGCAAGAGGTGTCCCAGAGGCAAAACAAAGCTGCTTGCATTATTTACTTGGTTTCTTCTATCAATGTCGATGTCATGAACCTGTGAGCTTGTTGAATCTGTTGCACCGTATCCCGGAGGAGTTAAACCAAAGTGGATGCCATAAGAGGTGCCCGAGAGGTGTCCCGGAGGCGTCCCAGGGGGGAGTTGAACCCACCGGGGGGGGGGGTCCTACATATGAAGTTTTCGCGTGATGCGGCGATCTCGAGGATTCCAGCCCCTCACTTGCTAAAGCAAGGACAACTCCAGCTAGCTGGTGCTAGCTTTCGTGACAAGGGTCAATTGGTGTTCAACGCAAAGTTATATATTACCCAGCAAGTCCAAAGGACGGGTTAAACCGGTGCGTTACTAAAGAACTGGTTCAACTGGTGCGTTGACCCACTGGGTTATCAACTATCCCTGAACCTGAAAAAAGAGGCGTCCTGTCTGGAGGTCCCGGATCGTAGTGGGGCGAAACCAGCCAGGTGAAGGTGCTGGCATGAATGATGTTATTACCCTAAGAATCAAAGGACCCTCAAAGGTGAAGGTTGGGTGAAGGGTCCAAACCCATGCAAAACCCTCCAGTTCGGAGGGTCGATTCTTAGGGCATAACTCTGCACATTCGATCCCACCCACCCGCCACATCCCCCATCAGACCCACGCCCAACGCACGACGCACGACGCACTTCGCGCCCTCCAAGTGTCCGGACGACCGGGCCTGGGCGACGGGATGGCGTGGCGCTCGCTGGCGTGTCCGGGCCGGGGTTGGAGGAGGGACGGCACCCAATACAGAAGCCTACAAGTCCAAGGGTCAGGTTAAACCTGGTCCTTGACCTCACTGAGCACCGGGGGTTGCATGACTGGATTGAGTCAAATGAGGTCCGTAAGGCCTGTAGGCCTGTAGGGGAAGAACAACACCAAGCAATGCTGAAAGGGTTGCTTCTGAAGGAAATGGAATCGTCAGAGTTAGGGGTGTCTATAAACCACCCTTGCCAGGGATGCCGGGCCATGATTTGGGGTTGTGAGGACTGTATGCCGGACTGTCTTCCATGGCATGCACGGAGGCCCGTAAGTGGTCAAGAGAAGCGTTTCCCTCTTCCATGGCGCCAGCGTTTCCCTGAAAAGAACATGTTTGCGTTCATACCGTGTGGAACTCGTGCGGATTTCACCTCAACAGCCAAGAGCTCCAAGGATCAAGCTCTAGTTGTATGGTGACAAGTGTGCAGCTGATCAAATTTGCGACTCATTTTATAGTCAATTACAAATCATTTGTACCTGCAGGGAGCCTAGCTGGGGTACTGCTGTGGCAGCGTGATCTCCAAATGCTACGAAAGAACCCGCTCTGTCTGGGATGCAAACCACCTTGGAACTCTGAGCCTAGAGTTGTGACAGCACAATCACAAGTGAATCGCACCGTCGAAACAATAAATCTCTTCCTGACCACCGCTGTGCGGTGTCTCTTGCTGATGCGTGCAATGCAAAGCCTCGAGTTCTGTGCAGTGATTGTCAGTGAAGCGCATCATTGAACATGCAGTGGATATCGCAAATCATTGCACAGCCCAACAATCCTAAGATTGTTCATACAAGTGTCCTGAAGCAACCTGCTCCACAAGAACTCCCTCCACCAAACCCATTCAGGCCAGGGACGCTCCACTGGAGGCGTTTGCATCTTCTTGTCAAGCTGCAATTGCAAATCCCTGGGCTTGAGCACAAATGGTTTGTGGAGGCTAGCAGCAACTAACACCTCACCAAACAAATGTTGTTGTTGGCCGTTAGGTTTCATGATCCTCCACACCCGCAGTGGTTTTATGTGGGGCAAGACCGGGCAAGAGGTCTGAGGGCAGCGACATGTAGCACAACCATGTGGAATCAAACACGGTAGCTACAGCCAGATGTTGCAAACTAAATGGATGCAACTGGCACATCTATGAGCCAACTCTGCCAATCGGTCGCTTTTCATATCCCCCATCTGGTGCCGATTCCATCTAGTGTACCATCTATAGCAAGTGCAGTCAATACCCTCGCCCTGTCAAAGAAGGGCTTTCCAGTCCTATGAAAAGGCCCAGGACGAGCTGGGTGCGAGCTCTCAGCTCAGCTTTGCCTTTCCAGGCTTGAGAGGTTTTCCGCACGCCCGAGAAGAATTTTCCGCACCATGCACTGCAGGCCCTTATCGCAAGATCATTGCTGAACGCAAACGAAGAGGGTTTAATGGCATGACGACTCGTGAGCTCTCTACATGAGCTCCATCTGCGCAGCGACAGGCAGTAGCCACGTCCACCGTGTGTCACATCCCACCCGTTGCGTCCCAACAGCTCAGACATGATTCCCCTGCCTCCTAGGTAAGCCTAAGCATTGCCCCTCCTAGGTAAGTCCGGTGGCCGTGATCACCGAAGCCTTCTGAACTTCTCCACCACCAAAAAAAGGACGGCTCCAACCTGAGAGGCTGGAGCACCTTCGACTTCCTTTTCGAGGTCTTCAACGCTTCGCACCCTACAACCACCTCCAGCATCCCGCCGTGCGGAACCAGTCCCAAGGCGCTGGTTCGCTCGCTGTGCTCGCTCTAGAGCCTGGTCTTGCTCGTTCGGCGAACGGTGCAAACGACGGGAGTCAAAGCTGGGAAACCCAACAACCAGACGAGAAATGGATGTTTCCCCAAGCAGCCATTTTCCCATGGCAAAGGATTTCAAGCAAACCATATTGGAAAAAAAAATTGTTGCTGGTTGGGACTGGGTTTCCAGGAAGCAGTTCATTGATGGTCATGGACGTTCCTTGAAGTCTCTGTGATGAAAATGGACCGTTGCTGCTTTCTTGACGTGTGACAGGAAGGAAGGATCGAATAAACCAATGAACAACTTGATATATTATGATAAGCTTTTAAAATAATGCAATTGCTTGCATACTTGCGTGTGTGTGTGTGTCGTATAGAAACGAAGTCGTCTAAAGTGGTCGAAGGTTAGCTCAAGGCCCTCGATGACTGCCAGCTTAAGCACCAATGAAACTCCCAACTAATCATCTCCATTGGACACCCAAACAGGATGGTCTTGGTACATTATACAATAAAAAATATCTCGATCTCTACAAGTCCAAAGACCCAGTAAAACCTAGTCTTTTACCTCCTTAAGTATTGGCTTTGTATGACCATATCCAGTAAAATGATGTTTTTGACTTGTAGGGTATGATATATATATATATTATTTACATTTATTTACGCACACACATATAATATATATATATATATATTAACATCATTAGACTTACATCAGTGCACATCACTCACCCTACTCACGGCCTAAATAATAGGCCGAGACCCCCGTCTCCATCTTCGACGTTCGCCGTACGAATCAGCTGTCCCAGCCCTCGCCTTCTGCAGATCGCCCTTCTCTTTCCCCAGCCTCGCTGGCGACGAGTGGAGCGCACTCCGTGTCCCACCCGTACCGATGCCCGACCCCGCGAGCGACTCATCGGGTGCGAAGCAGGAAGGACCGGTGGGGCCACCGGGGCCAATCGAAGATCCGACTCGGAAGCTGAGCCCAGATGAGCCGGGACCACATCGACCTTGTGGGGTGCTGGGAGCCCTTGTGGGTGCCTGTGCGGCAGCTGATTCGATGCTGGTGGTCTCCAGGAAGTTCCTACCGGCGCCCCTGTAGCAAGTCGAGATCTGGCCAGGAACCACTGGGCACAGGCACAGTCGACGCATCCATGGCTGGGCCTCCTTGCCTTCTTTCAAGCTATGCAAGCGCGTGTCTACCCCATGTATATATAACTGGGTTCCCAATCACCAGCCACCACCACCACGCATGACCGCATCTTCTCGGGATCCCAGGCTTCTTGGCGGCCTGCCAGCAAAACGCCCACAGGGGGTGAGGTGCAGAGGGCGGGGGAGGTGCATACGACTGGACTTGAACCTGTGAATCGCCTCCGACGAGCACATCACATCAAACCCGTGGAGTGAAACCCCCCCGTGTTCGTCAAGGGAAAGGTCGTCTTCCTCTCGGGGCCTTTCTTGGCCATCCAGGTCACCATGGTGATGTGTTCGTCAAGAAGTGTCACTTGTGTTGTGGAATTCCTTGGTGGTACGGCAAGATCACATGTGAAGGCGTACCTCCGTTTATACGCCTTCCACGACGTTAGTAGAATAGGTTTTTGCAAAACCCTTTCTGTGCACTACCCTTCCGTTTGCCTTTGAACATGGTCCGGTACGCGTGCAGTACACAATGCGTACGTCGTCGCGAAGCGAAGCACAACACACGAGTGGCCACTCTGCTTGGGCAGTCGGGCCTTCACCGCTCTGTTCACAAAGGAAGCCTTGGTCTTTCTATATTGGCATTGATAGAGTCGGATGGTAGAAGACCTCCAAGACTTGCAAAAAGGCTGGAACTGGGCTTCAGAAATGCGGTTCCATCACTGGATCTCAACTCTCCAAATCCAACACCCTTCCCTTCTGCACCTCCAGGGCTTCTCCCTGCGAGGGGTGGGGCGAGACGAGACAGAGTGCAAAAAGCGGACCGAGCAGTTGTCCAGTGCCACCGCGAGTTAGTTCCGACCCCCCACCCGGCCAATCGCCATGGCCATGGCCCCAAACCTATCAGGGCTTGGCAGCTCAGGTTCGCTGGATCCTGGCCTGGCTATAGAACATATGTTGCAGTAGGAGCCATGTTCTCACTAAAGATAGTTCTACCTGATAGTAAAAAGGCAACTGATCTTTCAACGGATCTTAATCTCGTTCCTTTCTTTCGGATAGAGGGTCCCTATATGTCCTTTTAGATGTCCCTCACATGCTTTCCACTTCAGCTGCGTATGAAAGCAGGTCTCTTCAGTGAACCCCCACTCCCCCCCCCAAAAAAAAAGAAAGGTCCCTTTTCAAAGGTCCCAAGGAATTGGGCCACCACTTTGGAGGGCAATTCCTTGCCTCTCCTCATCCCACACCCATCCCACGGAAACCACGCCGTCCACGTAGTCGTTTGGGGCCTCTCCCATTACCCTTCGATCACCGGGTCAGCGGCTTCGAATGCATGCGCACACAGCGTCTTTTGTACACCTGATCTCCGTGGTGATCTCCGTCAGATCACCGCTCCCCACCGCTCCCCACCCGCGCGGCTCCGCGCTGCTCCGCGCTGCTCCGCGCTGCTCCGCGCTCCTTTCTGCCCGCGCGATCCGCTGCTCCGTCGGTTCCGCGTCTCTCTCCCGCCCGGGCGGCCGGGTCCGTTGGGACGGCGGCCGGGACCGTTGGGACTGCGGCCGGGACCGAAGGGGGGGTACAGAGGTCCGGGTGTGGGGGCGAGTGGCAGGGTTTGAGAGGTGGGGTAAAAGCAAGAGAGATTGAGAGATCAGAACTGGAGCCTGTATACTGGTAGATATGGGATGGGCTAGCTGTTCAAGCTCTCTAGGTAGATCTTGATAGATCTGATTTGTGGAGGGGACTGTTTGCCCAGCCTAGAAGGTGTAGAAATGAAGAGTCGATGATTGATGGGCGAATGTTCAGTTGTGAATACATGAATCTTTTGGCTCCCCCCCAGGTTCTCAGTATGGTATTGTCACTTTGGGGGGTTGGGTGTGAGGTGCAGAACTTAGAAAAAGAACTCCTTCCACCGTCTTTGGTGACCACGTCCACCATCATGGCTGAGGTCGTTTTCCGGGAGACCTCGACACCATCAACAGATGCTTCCTTTCAGCTCCGGCGCTTTTTTGGGGCAGCCCCTTGTGGGCTGCCAGGCTCTTCAGCATTGGCGGTATCGGCCCAAATTGCTGGGTCGAAGAAGCATGAGGGGCGAGGAACCCTCTCCAAAATAGTCCAAATCAATCACTCAAACAAATCGAATCAATCACACGTCGGGTCACCCCGTTTCAACCAGCTCCACAGCTCCAGATCTATGCTTTCTCTCTGCCGCATGTTTACAACCACCCCTCACACCGAACGGGCGCTTCATGAAGGGAGGAACCCAAGGTCGCGGTACTGTTCATTCTTGTTCAAAGCAACTGAACCCGCTTGGGTTGCCAGAGACGTTCGAACCATTTCAACACCTAAGGAAAACATCGGAAAACCACAACTACACCAACTCAGGCCAAAAGCTGCCAGAGCCGAACTCAGGCGATTGGCTCCTCCACGAAACATCCGTGCACCCGATTTTGGGGGGGGTTGGCCACCCCTTCTCGACCTGGATCTTTGCTGGGACTCCGCTCATTTAAACCTCAGGTCGTGGGCGACCCCGCTGTGCAGTGCGGTGATGTGAGGAGGCTGGAGTTTTGTGGACGCCACGGGTCACTTGCTTTGTGGGATGGACTTGGCTGCAGAAAAGCACGGCCCGGCCAAAGGTGAAAGAAAGGGTCCAGGAGTTCCAAGTTGGGGTGGTATCCATGGAGGATAGGGATGCCCAGAACATCCACTCACTTGGGGACTAAACACCACCACTTTGTGACCCTTGGCTTATTAATGAAAATAATTAATGAAGCTGGTAGGTGTCTTTGCTTGGCGTTGGCACTGCTGCTGAACCTTGGTCGACACCAGCATCTGAAGGCTAAACTATGTATGTCAAAGCCCAACCTTGGTGATGCTCTAAGCCATTTTCCAATTGTCCCATTTTCCCTCCAACATTATCCGAAAAACATGCAGAGCCATCAAAGATTTTGAAGTGCCCCACAAGGCACTATAGTTAATGGATGTTAATGGTGTCCAATGCAATCCATACAGGACCAAACCCCTCACCTTCGTCTTCTTGGCCAAGAAACGACGGACTGCGCTTTGTCAGTGCCTGAAAAGGCTTCCCAGCATGTTCCTTGGTGCTACGAGCGGTAGCAGGACCACTCGTGCCATGCACCTTGTCGGTCTCGTCCCTCTTCGTGAAATGAGTGTCTATGGGGGCCTGCTGGTTATGCAAACTGTACCTCTTTGACAAGGGTTGGAGATTAGAACCCGTACAGTTGGGAGGGCACCTCCTCCTCGCAAGCTTTTTGAGCAGCTTTCGAGCTCTTGACTGTCACCGTCACAACTACTCCCGTTGAGTTCGAAAATATTGCACAACACCTTTCCCGACATATAGAAAGTGAGCAAAACTACTTGGGCTACAGGAACCTAATTCAAAGGGTAAGCAACGCAGGGGATAAGAAGATGCGGATGGATCATGCAACCGCTGATCATAAATCAGCAAAAAGGTTTCTTAAGCCCGTGCCCAAGCCCAAGTTGAAAGTCTGAAGGATAGCTTTTGAGTGTGGGCCACCGAATGCAGGTGGACCGATGTGGACCTAAAGAGATAATGAATATAGATTGGTCATGGCTCGGGGATTGGTAGAGCTTCGCGACTTCGCAACAATTGCCTGGTGACCCTTCATCCCCCTCATCTGGTCTAGTGACTGGTGGCACTCAAGGAGTTCACCTCATCAACCTTCTCCAGCAAAAGTGGCAAGAATGGAACATACCTCTGCCTAACGACCTAGACCCTCTGAATCTGCCTAACTACTTCAGTTCAGGGTTCTGAAATGTTATATAAATACATGGGTTCTCAAATCCATCAACCTGAGGGGAAAACGAAGTGTTTTTGCTGATGCTCTGGACTCAGTCACTATTCTCCAATCCAGCTTTGCCCAAAACATCCTCTCACTGGCACTTGAGCGCACTTGAGCCATAGTCTTCTGTGAAGGGATGGTGAAATCCCAGTGGAAAATCCGGTGATTTCGCATTGCTCACCTCCACCCCGTGGAGCCGTTCAGCTCCTTCCTTCGCCCGAGGCGCTCCAGTTGCTGTACAGGGTTCATGTTGGACACCGTGGTGGTCGTCTGCGTCACTGTGACCTCGTAGCGGGGCGCTGGCGTGCCGGGTTGCGACGCGGACAACAAAACGCCACGGATGGTCTGGGCTATGAGACCCAGAAGTCCCCCTGCATTCCAACCATTGGGTCCTATTCAAGCCCTTCGACACCGAAAAAGAACATCCATCGAACACCCTCAGGACGTGACCATTTTAGTAACAAAGTTCGGGCCCAGAATACCCACTCGGAATCACTCGGACATGGGTCGAGCATGATCGAGCTAAACTATACAGCAAACCATCCAACTCCATGGCTTTATCACAATAAGAAGAACGTCTCGTCCTTCTATCCAGGTTCTTGGGTTCAAGACCAACCTTGATCCACAGAATCAGACGTCTTTTTGTCCTGAACTTTCCTTTAAAAACACCATGGCATGTCTACACAGTGCCGTACATGTCAAGAAATAAGCTGAAATCAGCAGTCTGAGGCCCCCCCCCCTTTCTACCTCATCGTCTCTAAGAGCTCAGCAGCCCCAACACCTCCCACCCACCTCACCGTCCACCCCGCGGTACGGTGGTGCCGGTCGTCGTCCACGTGAGGGTCCGGGAGGTCGTGGCCGTGGTGGTGAGGCCAGTGGCCTCGGTAGTGGAGGGCTCGGGACCGGGCACCACCCAGTGGCCTCGGTGGTTGATGGACCCGAACTGGGGGTTGATGTGAACATGAGGTTTCCACCACCCAGGGTTCCCCCTGAGTGGTGCTGGGTCACTACTAGTAATTATAGCATAGATTTGGAGTTGCAAGCTCTTCCAAAAGAGGTTTATGGTTAACAGGACATAAATCCAGATGAAAGCCCTGGACATTGTCTGGATCTTTGAAGCTGGTGTGATGGTCCGATGGCCGTGGTGTGTCCCTATTGCTGGTGATCATCTCCGTGCTACAGTACCTATAGACCCCAAACACTACTTATTTGTCATGTCTGAAGCGAAACATCGTTTTTTTTTTTAGAACTGTCATTTTTTAAGGTTCTGGGGTCTTATGGTATAATTAGGTTTCGGAACATGTTCAATCGATCAAGTCCCCTGTGGGGATCCTGAACATTCGCCTCACTGAGTGGTGACCAAGTCACAGTGCAAGCAATGTAGCTGTCTGCCTGGGATGGCATCTCTGAACACGAAAGAAGGAGACCGAGCTGGTTGACCTACCTACAGGGGTCTAAGATGGATCTGGAGGCGCAAATGGACCTGGCAGCTTCGGTGACTCTTGGTGGAAGCACCATGGAAAGTGCAGATCTCAGACCTCTGGATCTCTAGACTCTATGATATTCTCCCTAGGCATCCAGTCGTACCGAACCTCAGGTACGGTGATGTGTTCGTCACTGAGACATGTAGGTGCCAGGAGGCTCCAGTCGTACCTGCTCTTCTCAGCAGGCACGACTGGATCCCTATAGGGTCTAGGGCTCCCAGGTGAAAACGACCCATCAAGAGAAAGAGAGAGAGAGAGAGAGCTGTGGGACCACCATCATTGGCGCACCGCTCTCGTTGTTGGCGCCTTTTGGGCGACAAAAATCACTCCACCCACCGAATCTCCGGTCGTGCAGCTGGAAGACGAAGGAAGACGAGAGAGTGAACACCGCCCGTCAAGACTGTTCAAGTGGACCCTGAGTTGTTGGAAGATGGTGAGCCCACTGGTGAACCCCTAAGGACCTAGCTTCACGAAATCCATCCGAGGTGGCTTTTGGAGCGCCACTTGAGTCCTTCGTCAGAGGTTTTCAGAGTATCCTCTTCCAGGCCGGGCTGGGGGTGTCGATTCGTAGTTCATTCGCCAGAGGCGATCTGAGGAAAGCTTACTTTCTTCCATCTATCTTCCATGCCCCCCTCCTCCAGGGGCCATGTGCATCTTCAACTCCGAAATACCACCACACCACCCAGTTCACTCACAAAACACCGAACACCTCCCGCTTGAAAGATAGGAACATCAACCATCTCATCGACCTCCCGCCTCCCGGACGCTCGGGCTGAACGACGGAGTCGACCTCGCGGACCGACCCACGGCACTTGACGAGTGGCGCTCTTGTAGGGATGATACGCGACGATCTCTTGGGAGTTGCACTGATCCCATCCAGGCCATTTATTGCCTCGGTCACGAGTGGAGGAGGATGAACGAGCGAGGGGGAAAATCAAAGGATTCTCCTCATTCTGGGCTTGAGCAGTCTGGTGATCCAAAGGCACACGGGAAGGCTTCTTTGCGCCATGCGCCATGCGCCATGCCACCGAGCGCTAAAGTAGAATGATGCATGGCAAACTTGACGGGAACCTAAGAATGCTATACTGCTCTAGATGACGGGTGGTATGTGTATACATGCATATATATATAATATACATCCGCGATCATCCGCGTGTGTATCCGTCTAGACCCAACAAGCCTTCTCAGGTTCTGCCCCTTCTCTGCCATCTACATCCTCTGCAGCATGGTTGCGGCGAAATTCTAGCCAGTTCCAAGGAAGTTTGGCAAAATGGAAACCTTAAATTAAAAACATACCAACTTCCTAACCTCCCCGAGAACCTCCACACGTTGTTTGGTCATCTTTGCTCCAAGGTGCAGTGGTCCTCGGCCAGCATTTGCCCCACCTTGGTGTGGAGCCAAAAGCCAAGGATAGCCAAGGGCCATGAGCCAAAGTGCCCGGTGTCTGAAAGGAGTAGAATAGAAAACGGCAGCCGCTCGAGGTGACGGAGGAGCCGCCAGAGGTGACTGACGCAAGAGCCACCCGATCATGTGCACCAACTACTATGTGGGACACACATTGCCTGTGGAAGAGCTCATACTCTGGAAGACTTCTTGTTGTGTACCAGAAGGTGTTTCAGGATCCAAGCACCTGAGGCTGAAGCAAAAGTTACTTCTTGAGGGCCAGCTTGAACTTGTATGGTGGGTTCTTTCCTGCAGAAAAGCTGTTCATTTGGGCCTCCCAAGGTTAGGGGATGCATTTAGTGCAGAAAGCGGCCACCACTCATCTGCGGCCTGAATTTGAAACCTATTCACCCGCCTTGGAGATTCAAGGACAGCCCACTTGATCATTAACCTGCTCCGAACTTTCGGAGATATTCCGTCGATGTCCATGTTTGTCCGCCCAAATCCATATCGCCCCGCAGCTCGGATCGGGCCACATAGATCCGCTTGGTGTGAGCGACGGTCAGCAAGCACTGGTCGAGCCACATGTCCTCCCACGCGAACAAGCACCGCGAGGAGACGGAGCGTGTGAGCGGAGCGGCCGAGACGGAGCGTTGGGCGTTCGGAAGCGTTCGGAAGTCCGAACGCCCATGGTCATGTCAGGCGCAACAGTTGCCCCAAAAACACCTCCTCCACCCACGGGCGAAACCAGGGCGAAACCGGTGTTCGCATCGAAGCAACACAAGGCAATCAATCCAAAGGCTGCAATCGTGTTAAAAGATCGACGATCAACCTAGGTTTTCCATGACCCCCGGGGTCCATCGATGCCAAAATGCGGAAAACGCATGAAAACGCTCCGAAGTCCGTTGAGCATTCGGTGCCTGCCTACTTTGTGGCCGTATCCCCCCTAAACTCTGAACCTACTATGTCAATGCATCTTATCATATCATAGTCTTATTCCCAAGACGATAGTCAGACTAAAACGCACGCCACCTCGGAGTTCATCCTCCATACGCAGCGAACGGCCTCCCAAACGACCATGTCGAACGACGGACTGGCCCCCAAACCACCCCGGTCAACGCATCGATCGTCTGGACATGTCTTCCCACCAACCTGTTCCACTTGCACGGACCCATGTCCTCGCCCCACTGCCAGTTGCCCCAGTTGTTCATCGCCCAAAAGCATTGCGAGGAGGCTGAGCGGCGTGCGGTCCGGCGGAATCGGCACAGAATCGGCATCAAAGGATCCTCCCAAACCACTGATCGGTCAATCCCTACACCGACCCGTCGTACCTCCTCAGCTTCGGTATGACTGGACCCACATAAGAGCACCCGGGCCGACCGTCCCGAAACGAAGCGAAGCGTGCGACAGGTACGGCCACTCCCGGGAATCATGAAAACCACTTGGAGGAATCGGGAGCCCATCGTTGCAAGGAAGACACGAACCCTGAAATCATCGAAGTGGTTGGCATGGCCCCGAAATGGATGATCATGAGATCCGAATACCTCCGGATACCAAACAGCTGGTGCAATCCACTTCCATGATTTCAGGGAGCGTTTCACTCTCGTGAAGCCGAAACACAGCTATAGGTCCCCCTGCGTTGTCGCGTTGCGATGAAACCAACGCCATCGTGTGTCCGAACAAACGTCCGTTTCGAGCGGCGGTTGAGTTTCAGCAGGTTGGCAGGTTTTCGAAGCCGCGGTGTTTGTGGAGCGGACGGGGCTCATCTTCTGTCGCTTGGACTGTCACGGATGTGGGTCATCTTGAAGATGCGGTTTTAGCCCCGGTGTGGATCAATGCTGACATGCATCAGGCCCTGATGTCTGCAATCAATCTTCCAACACGGCAAACAACTCGGAAAGCATGAAGGTGCGCTTAGTCCCCAACCTCTCCTCCACACAACATGTCCCAATATATCACCTTCTTCGCGGGTTTCATGGTCCCAATTTCCCGCTTCCACGGCCCAAATCCACCCGCTTTAGGCCAAGTGGCCTTTGGCAAAAGTACCTTAGCGGCTTCACTCGCGTCTTCGCGGCGGAACCCCTCGAGCCGGCTCACTGAGGCCACCTCGCCGAGGTAGGTGGTTCTGTTCGTGCGGCGGGACGACCCGTGCGACCCGTGCGAGTGTGAGGGAGTCTCCTAACCTGGCAGCTTCTGGCACCACTTGACCATGCCCTAAGAATCCGGGCCCTCAAACACGTAGGGTTTTGAGGGTCCGGACCCCTCCCATGGAGAGCCCGAGGATTGTTAGGGTGGCTTCGAAGCCATTGTTCGAAGCCATAGGGGTCCGTCGGGCCGTCGGGACGAGCTGGACCACTTGGGGCCGATCCGTGCTGCGAACTACGAGTGGATCCGAGGTGGTTTTTGGTCTCTCCCCATCTCTTCTTCTCCAGGAATCGCCCAAATCACGTTAAAAGCAAGAACCAAACCCAAACACTTCATGAATGTACTATGCATGTTTTGCCTATTTTCATGTGTTGGGGTGGTTGACCTGGGGTCAATGCAGGTCACCAGTCGAAAAGGTCGTGTCCAAAAGCCAAACCAGGCCGATGGAACCTTGGACCCGAAAAGGCCCGACAAGGCCGGGTGGATCTCACCAACCCAGGCAGTCCTGGAATGTACTCTCATGACCCTAGGGCTCCAAGTACCTTCTCAGAAGGTGTTTGGAGTGGGTTCAGAGGGTCCAGATACCTTCTGAGGAGGCACTTGGAGCCCTAGGGTGAGTAATCAACCCCCAAAATGCACCCGTTTGGGCTCCGGAGGGCTGCTTCGTTTCGTTTCGAAGGTATGACTGGGGTGGGGTTTAGAAGGTATTTGAATACCTTCTGAGGAAGTACTTGGAGCCCTAGGGGCAGAGCAATGTAAAAACTCTTCATACATGCGGCCTTTAATCAAGAATCTATATTATTATAGAGACAACGAATGACCTTAGAACCACGAGTACGAAGTTCGTACGGGTAATAACGCATGGTAAACAAGCCAAAACCGTAGGTCGATTCCATAGGTCGGTCGAGGCGATGCTTCGAACCTCGCTTCGCACCTCTTTTGATCGATTCGTTGGGCGCGTTGGATCGATGGGCCACAACCCTTAAGGCCATAGGCCCAGAGATGGAAGCGGAGCTGTTCTCCCACTCCCACCGTCTCACTCCGCGGGGGACGAGCGAGGCGGACGAGCGAGTGACCGGGCCGGTTGCGAAGTCTAAGTGCCCAAGTGCAGGATGGTTTGAGGTCTCCAAATCTAATTGAGAGTACCTATTAAAAAACGGACCCCAATTTAAAAAAAGTCATGTCGGATCCCCCTAAATACGGTTTTTATTTTGTTTTCCAAAATAACCGCCCTTTCAAGCCGCTATTAATTGAGAGTGTCTCCTAGAGGTTTCAGGAAGTGCCGAAAACGTTCACACAAATGCAGTTCAACCGAAGCACCATTTTTGCAAACTGGGGGTGGGAAAGCAGGTTGCACTACTGAGCTTGCACAAAAACATGTTGAATCAGGGTGCATGTTCACATCCTGTCATTGATTCAGCTCCCCAGAATCCGACTTCAGAACGGCCAACCCTTAGACCCATCCAGTGAGTGGATATGTCAAGGCAATCTTCTCGTTAGGGAAAGCCTCCTGCAGCCACATCTGAGGGGCGGAGCGACCGAACACCGGCAAACGCTCGACCGAAACCCCCGGCGATCCGTGCCCCGCAAAAACCGCTGTGGTGCCGACGTCAAGGAGACGCCGCGTGATGTGCGCGCGCGATGTGCCGCGTGCGCGGGAGAGATGGGCACGGCTGGTGACTGAAAACAAGTGCCACCCAGGCTGGTGCCAAGGGAACTTGAGAGAATTTGAGCGTTTCCATGAACTGGTCCTAAATGTTGTTCCATATTGAATAATATACGCAGAAAAGAAGCCACTTCTGGGGGTTCGATGATCCTCCTCTGCCGTCCTTTTCAGGACGGTTCCTCCGTGTTCCCTCACAACGCCGCAGCCGCTGCCGCTGCCGCGCCAGGGGGGGTCAGAACTCCAAGGAGTCGCTTCTGCCAAGCATGTTTTGGTCGGTAGACATGCGACCAGTCTGGGACTGCCAGTCCGGACTGCCGAGAAACGGCCGACCGGGGTGGTGCCAGGGGGGGTCAATGTATGGCATATATGGCAGTCCCATGGAGTGTATGGGTGTTATAGTAAGTTCAGAGTAGATGGCACAATACAACATATAGATGGACCCCATCACAAAGACATTTTGGCGATTGTCCTGTTAGCATCACGAAGATTGAAGGGTGATCCAGTTTGATGGGAAAAAACCTGCCATGAATTTCCGTGGATCAAACGACTGAAATATCTTTAAATAGCTTGGGGAAGGCTCCAACGGGATCCAACCCGATCAAAGTGGCATGTAGACTGAATTGTTCGAGGACCCCAATGTCAGTTCCACTATAAAATCCATAATGGATAAGAAACATTACAATAGGCTATAGGCGTAAACGGGTGAATATATGCGTACATCAAAAGTAAAACACATCAACGTCCACCTTGAGCAGCTGATCTTTCTCTCACCCCCGCGATTACTGCCAGGCTGTGCTGCCAGTCCTCATTGTCTTGGGATCTCCTGCCGGCTCTCCGAACATGTTGAGCATCATGAGTAGCTTGGTAGCTTGGGTGTGTAGTCCTAAAAGCTGAAAAGGACCAAAGCCCATTGGGCAGGTCGGTCCCCCCCAAATCTTGAGGCACCCACCATGTGCGGCTGCAATGCTCTCTGGGCTGCTTTCTGGGCTTTACTTAGTCCCCGAAGGTCTGGATCCATCACCCTCGTCCTTGATTTTGGCCATCAAGAACCGATCAAATGTTGGATACAATATCCTGAGCGATCCAAAATCCTTGCAGGCTAGTAAGTCCCCAGAAGAAATGGGAACTGAGCTTCTTCCAGTCCCTCTCTAATCCACCAAAACCACCTAAAACCCGATCGTGAGGGATCCGGAAAACCAGGAAGCAAAGGTGGTGGAAAGACGATGGAAAACCACAGCCAGGTGGTGCGAGATCAACTGGAGCATATCAACGCCTGTATCGTCCTCTCTACTGCTGTTTCTCTGGTTCCAAGCAGCATTCTCCACCTAACCGTTCTCCACCTGTTCGTTCGTTGAATTAGTGGGGAAGCCAATCCCACAAAAAGGTTTAAGGTTATCCCCACTGACTGGGTAGGCTATCAGGTGCTGCAGCCTTTCGTCGCACCCGATGTGCATAATAGATCCCTCACAGGCCCCGGCTGTGGTGCTATCCTCTCAAAGTGTTAGTCAACTCTGCGAAGCACAACGAAGCAACGATCCTTCTTCGCACCATGCACTGAAATGAAGCGAATTGGTCTCCATCTCCTGCTGGGTTCCCCACACCGTCCTTCACGTCACACACCCCGACCCCACCCGCGTTTTTCGGGTCTCTCCTTGGACGGAGATCAGTCCTTGGAACGACCGGGCGGTTCCGTGCACTCGGTCGACCAAGATCCCCACATCCATGGGATCTGCTACCATCGTGATGTCTTCTGCATATACCATCCATGGATGACCCCATCCATGTAGGGAACTCTCTCTCTCTCTCTCGGCAGCGTCGGCAGCGTCTGGCTACAACGCAACCGTCCCACAGGGACACACAAGGAACTATCAGTGGTAGTCTACCAGTGGTAGTGAGTCTGGGCTGCGGCACTCCTGCTAGCCTTTCCACTCCCATTCCCCAGCCCCCCGGACCACTCGCGCCCAAATGAGGCGGGGGAGGTTGATGAGATCTCTAGGATCGGTTTTAAGGAAAAAATCGCCACCCGCTCCAGACCGCGAATGGGAATGGAAGGCACTTGGGAAGGCTATTGCCAGAGATCCAGGTCCACCTCGGAAAACCGCCACTAGGATACTCAGAGGTGTCCAAACAAAAGAGCGCAGCACGACAAATCCAAATCCACACCGTAACAATCATGATAGAGATGATTTGGTCTATATGTGGTCCTTTATAGTTATATATCTGGACCTTCAAAGGGGTTCTCAATGGAAATCCCTAAGTAGTGCAGGGTAGTCTTTTGGAGTTTTTTGAAGGTCCTGGTAGCACCCAGTTGGCCAGATCCTGCTCCACTCCTCACACGAAACCCTCTGAGTGGCTGAGTCGGCCTCTGCCGCCTGCTCCGGCTGCGGTTCCTGAACCTGTGGCAAAGCTGCTTGACAAAAGCCATTCCAACCAGGCAGTTCTTACAAGTGCTAGTGACAAGTGCAAGTGCGAGCGCTACAGTAGTGTTGGTGTAAGTGCTCCTACTCGTACTCCTACTGCAGCTACTACAGCTACCGCTACGACTACCACTGTGGCCGCTACTCCTGAGGCCTATCTTCAGACCCGCGCGTGTCTCTTCGCGGCTTTCCTCTTCGCGGCGTTCATCGAATCGCTGCCGCATGCTGCCTGATTGGGCACCAAGGGCACCATGTGCTGCATCACGAGGACTTCGTCGAAGGAGACCTTGGAGGAGGTGACGAAGAGGGCGCTTGGACATGTGAAAGCGCATATCATTTTCGGTTAAAGCAGGTGTAAGCACGACATGATTCCTGAGATGTTCAGGATACTATCTAGAAAATATGAATGCAGCTGAAACACACCATGTATGATGTAAATGCAATGGGCCTACATACACTTAGTATATAGCATTGGTGCACGATCTAGGTCTGAGGCTATCTTGAACTGCATCGCAGATCCATATCGACTTGAGAAACGCACCAAGTCAGCACATGGCTGGCGCGTCAGTGTGCATGTACAGTGTATTTGGTATCGATGAGGTCTCGTACTGCAGGCCATGACGACGTCCACGACCCAGCGGCCGAAATATATACACAACCCCTGAACAGGGTAAATGGAGTTACATGGAGTTCACCGCAGACCGCTCGGTCATCGGAATTCATGGTCATCCTGTGGGTGGTGGGCCATGCCATCCACGGAACCATGATGATTTCAGGGTTCGGATCTATCCAAGTCCTGACAGAAAGATTGACTCCTGAAACCACCCCAATGCTATCTCGGAGTGTCTGAGCTTCGACTCGCACCACCCGACTGGCGT